AGGACAGATACAATTATTTACTTCTCTTTTACAAGATACAGTGTGTAAAATTAATTTATCAAAGTTTAAGTTATTATTATTATTTTTTATTCTAAAATGTATTAAGTTGAATTTGGTAAAATTTAGTTGTAATTAATTATTATCCAGCCAATTCTTAGTTAAATTAATACCTATATCAGCTTCATGTTTTAGTTTATGTAGACAAGAGTTACTAACAAGGAAAACCGTGTCATCAGCAAAACACAAAATCTTACCTCCTACATTTTGGCTAAGCAAACCATTAATGTATAATATAAAAAGTAGTGGTCCAAGAACAGTCCCTTGAGGTACAGAATAATTAACTAACAGGTCATTACTATAAACGTCATTAATTTTAACCTTTTGGTTTCTATTACTAATAAATGATTCTAATAGTTTTAATGGAATTCCTCTTATTCCACAGTATTCAAGTTATTTTAACAATAAATTATGATCTACAGAATCAAAAACTTTTTTCAAGGCTACAAATATACCAACATATTTTTTTAAATCAAGATTGTCATACATAAATTTAGTAGCATAATATAATGCATCATTTGTAGATAAATTATATCTGAAACCAAATTGTTTGTCATTAAAAAATGTATGTTCACTTAGGAAGTTAACAAGTTTGGTTTTAATACATTTTTTAGAAGCTTAGCGATAGTCAATGTAAGAGTGATTGGTCTATAATTATTACAACTTCTTATATCTTCTGGTTTATAAAGCGGAATAACTATTGATTTTTTAAACCCAGAAGGAAATTCATCTTTTGAAAAGCATTTAGTGAAGATAATAGTTAAGGGTAAAGATATATTAGTTGGATCATACTACTTATTTCCATAGGGTCAATAGGGCTTAGAAAAACTAAAAATATTAGCAAGTTCTTTTTAGATTTCTCTAATGATTATTTGTTTATTAAGTTTAGTATTAGAAGCTATTTTTAAAAGATCCCACACTTTTTTAATATTATTGCCTGATAATTAAATTTGTGTTTTATAGTATGCATTTCTAACAATTTTTTTTAAGTTATTTAGTATATTTCTATAAACAATATTACATTTTCTATAAGCATTATAAGGTTGGCGCCTCAGTTAATTATACATGTTTTCTCTTACTCTAATAGACGTAATAAGACCTAGAAAAATCCACGATTTTAACTTGCACTTTTTAATATTATTCATTCTTTTAGTATATGTAAAAAAATTAGTAGATGCTAAAATGAAATCATTGATTTTATTATTGAAAATATCAATAGATATATGAACATTTTTATCATCTAGTAGGTTATTCCAATCTTTAATTCTAATTAAAATCAATTGTTTTAAATTCAATATTAAAATTGTTAGCCATAGTTTTTTGAATATTTAAATCATCAATATTAATATTTAAGATTAAACTAAAATGGTCAGTAACACTACTATGTAACACATAATATGATACTTCTTTAATATTAACATCTTTTACAAATATGTGATCGATACATGTTCTAGAATGACTTTTAATTCTGGTAGGATAATTACAAGCAGAGTAAAAATTATTGCTGTATAAGATATTCATATAATCAACTGTTTCATTATTATTTGATAATATATAATATTTATATCACTACATAAGATTTGATTATAGTTTTGATTATATTGTGATAAATAATCATTAAGAGATAACAAACATTTTTCCAAAATATAACTAGGTGATCTATATAGACCGGTCAGATAAAATAGTGAGTTACTTTTATCTAGTGATGTGAGTTTGTATTATACAGTAGTATAAAACTGTATTATACAAGATATTATACACATGTTATAAAATTATTTTATACAGACAGTATAAAAAAAATGAAAGCGTTATTTTTAGTTTTTAGTAACTCAACTATTTATTTTTTAGTTGTACTTATAGAATAGTTCTCCAATAAAGTACAGTATTATTATAAAAATTAAAAATATACAATATTATTGTAAACGTGTTAATTTAGAATTCAGGTGTTAAAAATTACTAAAATTAATTTATTGTACTATTATAATATTCCAATATTATTAATTTATTGGTACAATGAGATAGTATATAACTATAAAAGTATTAAGTATAGTTTTATCTTTATTTCTATTTAAAAAATATGTATTTCTATGTATAAAATACATACGTATGCTACCTATATCATAATTGCAAATCCATAGCATGACTTTTATTTGGTGAATTTGGTGAACAATTCTTGTATTTTGTGTTTTTTTAATTTTTTCTAACTTTTTAGCCAATTTTTTCAATTATTTAATTTTAAAATAATTTATACATCATAATTAACAATGGGATGATAACCTTTGTTAAATTCCTTATAATTTAAGGTACTGCAAGGTTCTATACAGTATAATATTGGTATAATACGGTATTATACAAAAAATAAATAAAATACCGTATTTTAACATCTCTACTTTTATCGATAGTTTTTTCAATAGAATTACAATTAGATAATTGTTCATCTTATGTTTATTATCTTATGGTAGATCTTGGTATTTAATTCAGTAGCAAGATGAACTATTTTCAGTCCTAAGCAAGATTTAAAATTTACTACTCAATAAGTTAACTGTACATGGAGTAACTATTCAATCACATATGAATGGTATATAACTTTGAGTTTACTTCACTTGATAATTTAATATGGACTTATATTATAATATATATAGTATATATTATATACTGTATAAACTTATAAAATGTTATATTTGTGAATAATGTATTATATAAAACACATTATGTACACTTGACTTAATTAATTCAATATAAACTTTCAAGTCTGGGCATAAACGAGTTAAAAAGTTCAAGTTAAGTTTATTTTAACTTTTTAATTTCACATTTTTTATTTTAATTTTCATTAACATAATTTTTAACTTAACTTATTTTAATTGATATATACTTAATAAATAACATATTACTTTTAATCAAATTCAAATTAAGTTAATTTATAAATAATTAAATACAAAATATAATAAAATTATTATTAATGATGCTTATTACATAACCATTTACTAGAATAGGGAATTAGAAATATAGTTTAATTTAATCAGCATTCTTCAAAAAAAAAAATTTTAATACATATAGCAATAGTCATATAGCCAATAGGTATATATTATATTATCGTATATATAAAGATATACCATACTATACTGCGATATATGGACATATTATTATAATAATAATAACAATAATTAATAAATAATAAGTAATATAAAATATTATTATATTGATATAGATATAAATCACAAATTTACAATTCTCAAGAATAAATTATAAAACGTTTTTGTCATAAATAATTTATTTTTAAATCAAAACCAATTGGGTTATGCTTTAAACTTTTAGTTCCCTGAAAAGTATTCAGAGTTTAAAATTAAGTGGATTCTTAAATACTATGTTATTTTTATTTAATAATTTAAAACAAATGGATAATACCTATCTATAAGTATTAATAAATCAAAAGATTGTATTTATTTCGGCATTTTGTATACTTTTGGTACCTACTACATAATTCTATTCATCAGTACCCTAAATTTAATTCTATGTATAGAAATGCTATTGGCTATTTCCTGTGTTCAGTAATATTTATGATTTTTATCATTTTAAACCATTTACTGGGTATTTATATAGATATTAAATATAATAATAACTTAACTTAAGTGTAAAAGTTAATTAAAAATTTTCATATAACTTTTAACTTCACCGAGTCAAAGAAAAAAAAATTAGGTTAACTGTTAACTTTAAATTTTTTAAAAATATTTCCATCAATTTAATTTAACTCAGTTAAAAATTATCATTAACTTGACTCGGATTGCAAACTTTTATTCAGAAATATAAGAACATACATATTTTTGAATCAGATTAATACTATTAACTAGAAACCAGAACAAAATATAAGAATTTTTAACTTTTCTTCAAGCTTTATTTCTATCAAATTTTAATACAAATAGTTTAATAATTTAATAATTGTAAATCAATGTAGAAAAATATTATACTAATTCATAAAATGAATTTTAATTAAGAATTTATAAACATAAAATAAAATAACATTTTAAAAAAATTCAATTAAGCTTTATTAGATTTTTTCCTCCTGCAATAATAATTTACTTCACAAATGAAAACCTAGAACTCACAAGTATTTAAAAATATGAAAAAAAATTATTTAATTATTGTTGTACATAGATAAAACATTTTCGCATTCGATCATCTTAAGTATTATACATTAATATTTAATATACATATAAATATTTGTTACCATTATTATAAAATAAATTTCCAGAATCAGTGACATGACAAAACAGTTTTTGAGACAAATTAAAAAGTGATAGTATAATATTACATTAAATTATAAACATTTAACAATTATATTAAAAAATAAAAAGTGCTATTACTATAACAGCTGATGATTATTTACTATTTAGTAATACCATTGACCAAAGTAAATTATGTTTAAAATTTAAATATCTATAGAAAAAAACGGTAGCAAAAAAAAAATTTTACATGGAGTATGGATATTGTAAAATATATCTATTACAAAATAGAACATAAACATTATATTTCCATTCTATAACTATACAGTTTTGGATGTATATCAAATTTAAATTTACACGATGTTAAGTATCTACACTGTGTTATTATTTAATGTTGAAAATTGTTTAATACATGCAAATTAAATGTATATAAAATTAAAAAATAAACTAGTTACTAGTACTACTTTCATAAAAATATCATGAACTACTACTAATACTAAATGCTAGTTGTAGACATATTTATAATATTTCTACCGATCACCAGAGTTTTCAACTATTAAATTGTATACACAAAAAAAATATAAAAATAAAATTAATCGTATTATATATATTTAAATGGTTAAATATTTTACTATTTTACATTCTAACACTAAAATTTAAAAGTAAAAGTCAATAACCTTTGGAAAATATGATAGTTGATCAATAAAACTAACCTCAATTTTATTTTATTTTTTAATTTAAAATGATTTAATTACCTTTTGTGTACTTGTATCAAACAATAAAATGTTTAGATATAATCTGATGTATGATGTATGATGAATACAAAATATTATATTCAAATTAAATAGATTATTTTGAATAAACATTTATATTATTATCATCAGAAACTGAAATCATTTTATCTCCAATTGAATTGTACTTGACAGACCATACGTTATCTGTATGGTGTCTTAACGTATTGATACAAGAAAAAGTATTTACATCCCAAATTTTAATAGTATTATCAGCACTACAAGAAGCAAAAGTCTTACAGTCAGGTGCAAAGTCTAGGCCTAGAATCCATGACTTGTGTTCATTAAGAGACTTTAAATGTGTAGTGTTGTGAACTGAATATATATGCAATACATGCTCATCTGATCCAGTTACCAAATATTTTGAGTCTGATGAGAAGCATAAAGACCGAATATGCAATTTACCTTTCCTAATAGTATGTACGAGTCGTTTAGTTGTAACATCAAATATATAAACAAATCCATTGAAAGAGCCACAAGCTAAGTATTTACCATCTGGACTATATGCAACACACATTGTAAATGCTCCTAAATATGAAAGAAAATTAGTTATTTAAAAAGTTTATTATACTTGAATTCATAAGTTGAATATCGTACATATAATTCTGTATTTTAATAAATAAAAATAAATAAATACCTTTAGTATCAAATGAGTAATCATGTTTTCCTGTTTGTATATTGTAAGCGATAATTTTACCATTATGACTACCACTTAAAACATACTTGTCATCAGGTGAAAATACAAGAGTCCATAACTCAAGGGGTTCAGTTGTTATTGTTTTAAGTTTTGTTCCAGTTAATGTATCCCACAGATACAAATTAGTGTCTAATGAACTTGATGCAACAATTGTTGCATCAGAATTTAATACAACGGATATAATTGCCATTATTGCCCCTTCAAGAGAATGATGAAGTTGGAGATTTGGAACAGTTGAATCATAACTCCATATTTTCACTGATTGGTCCATGGAACCAGTCACAATACAATCGGTTTGGTGAGTTTCTTCAGTTTTTTCATCATTATTATCACTTTGATCAGTATTTCGATTACTGGAAGTATTCATTGTGTATTTTTCACCCCAGTCGCATGACCAAATGCCTTCATTGTGAGCATTTTTGAGCGAATACTCCAACTTAAGCATTATAATAAATTAATTACTCACAACACAACAAAACAAAACAAAAAACTATGATAGTAAGACACAACTAAAAGAAGTGAAAATACACAATGAACAGTTTGAATGTTGATTGAAGTAAGTAGTTGTATTGTAGGTTATAGATACTACGATAGCGCGGCCGCCTATACTGTGTACTGCGGAGAATAATGTCCGGCAAGATGTTCTTATCAAATACCTAGTTACTACTAGCGCACCTAGTGTACTTAATTAGTAAGGTCGCGTCCACACTAGCGTAACAAAACGACGAACATGTGTTCGCGAACAAGATTCGTGTGTAACAAATGGGCGAATTTGTAACATTCGCCGAACAAATTGGCGATCCGTCAATTATTGGTATTTCGACGTAACATCAAAGGAGGTTACGCGAATATGTTACGACAGGTATGAACAAGTCTTCGAACATTTTCACGAACACAATTGTTTTAAGCTGGGTTCACACGATGATAGTAACTTTCAACTATCATGCATGCATGATAGTGCGAGAGTAGCTTTCTCCATAGTCCGATAGTCACTATCGATCAGTTCATACGATGACACTCATATGATAGCAGCTTTCATGATAGCAACTATCGCGTTTTACTATCATCGTGTGGACCCAGCTTTACGATGAGTATTTATTAATTTTTAGTATTATTAGGACTATAGATCAAAAAATATAACAAAAATTATTGAAACAACCTACGTTATAACGTTATTGTAACGTTTAATTATAATAACCAAGGTCACCATGACGACCGCTATCTTTCATGTGGGTTTGATTAGGTTTTGACGACACTCTTACAAACAGCTGGAGATTACTTCAGAGGAGTGACCGAAAAATATTATAACACCCCTCCCCTCTCCCAAATGTATAATATTACTATGTAGTCTAGACCAATGACAATTTTATGTTGTAGGCCATTTGTGAGTCACAAAAATTATGATATATAAAATATATAAATAAATAAATACCTAACATGTTTGGTATTGATTGGGATTATCGATTAGGCTGTCATGAATTTATTTTAAATACAAAACAGTCATATATATTATGTATATTTTTTATTAATTGCATAATTTAATAACAGTATTAGGCCCAAAATTTATCTATTTAGTTACATTTTTTTTATTTTTTATTTTTATTGATAATTGGTAATTATACAATTTAATAGTAATATTAAAAATATGTAATTTGTTTAGTCACATTATAATTAATAATAAAAGTATTTAATTAACTTATAAAATATTATACATATGCATAATATGTTTGGTTGTACCTAGCTGAGGAAAATTTAAGTTGTATTAGTAGAGTTTAATAAAAATACAACATTATTTTTTGTGAATTTACTTATTTTATTTCGAAATAATAATTAAAAATATATATTTTTAAAAATTCATAACAAATATTAAACGTACAATTTACTTTATTCTCGCGCCTGCCATTAGAAAAACTCAGACAACATATTATTTTGATAAACAAAAGCTAAAAATGGGTATCACGATAGAACAATACGACAGAATATAATACAGTCATAGGGTCCGTCACGGGCTTAGTTATCAAATTATTTATTCTATCATCTGTGTGAACATTAATTATTATAACACATGAGGGGCGACATTCCAAAGTGTACTGTTGCTAAAAATTGAAAATGTGAGTTATACACCAAAACATATAGTTTAAATGACGGGGAAGTTTAGTTTAAAACCATCAAATTATGCCTAAGTGTACTATTTTCTATCAATAAATTGATTAAAAATACTAAGATTACGTCAAAATGCACTACTGCCGATGGCGAGAATTTTTCAGAATTCAGTACTGAATCTACCAATTTAACCAAAATGTACTATTTCTATGATTTTTTTCAAAATGTTCTATATCCAGACTACGCCATAACGTACTATTGCCTATGATAAAATAGAAATTTAGCACATCGGTTATATTCAAGATGCACTATTGCTATGTATTACAAATGACAAAATTATTCCTTATTTAAATTGTAAGTTTATATTTATTCTAAACTTATGTTATCACTATAGCCGTGCGGATTTACATTTTCATATAGTGATTATAATATCCTAAAAGGTAAAACAAAATAGAACGTTTCTAACTTCAACATTATACCATCAAACTCGCTCTAAAACTTGGTTGTTATCATAAGTGGATACGTGATAAATAATAGTTTAAACTTTATTTTGCTTTTGAGGCCAAAAACAATTATTTTTACATGCCATTGTCTCATAAACACGTTTTTCATAAACATAAAAATGACTTCTAAAGACCGCATAAGAAATTTGATGAAAAATACAAGAGCAATGGTAAGATATTTATTATTTCTAATTTTTAGTATTTAGTATGTACCTAATTTTATGCCTAACAATAATAATATGTTTATATCTAAAACTAATATAGCTACAACTTATAAGGTCTTATTTTTGAAATACCAGATGATGCCAAAACATTTTGTTCTGATATATTTAAAGAAAGTTGTGAATCAAACGTTAAAAATATTTTAGATGAATATAATGAAGATCAAGACTGACTAATCATTGTATCATTTGAAAAAAACATTAATCAACATTTTAAGTAGGTATAGGTAATATATAGTTATTAATAATATTAATAAATTTATTATTTTATTTACTATTTTATTATTATAAATGAGGCAAAACATTTTTTTTATTTTTTATTTTTTTGTTACATTTTGATTATATTCATTTTATTTTGTTAAAATACCTTAACCTGTATTTAGTATTTTAAATAGGTATTGGTTACAACTATTTGATATTGTTTATTTATTTTATTTATATATACTATATTACTATTACTATTATCAATGATGCTAAATTGTTTTTTATTTTTAACATTTTTAGTGAATTGATTTTATTTTATTAAAAATGTTAAACAGAATAATTTTATTTTAAACAGGTAAAGATAATATCTAATATTATTAAATTATTTTATTTGTTTTATTTTAGTATTTTCTCCTTCTACTTTTATTAATGAATTAATAGATTCACAAGGAATATTGCAAAAAAAAATATTTTGTTTTATTATTAAGGTTATTATTTATTAGTTATTCGAAACCATGTTATCCAAAAACTGCAAAATATTTGCATTGGCAATAATATGTTGAAAGACAAACTTTACAACTGTTTTCATTCATCTTACATTATTCAAATAATGCTACTTAATTTTCCCATTGGGTTTTATTTCATAAATACTATTCAAAATCTGGAGGAAATATGGAATAAGTACATTTTGGAAAAATTTGGTTTACTATTCTCTAAATTCTTAAGCAAGTCAAAGCGTACTATTGGATGGAAATAGTACACTATGGCACAACCAAAATTTAAAATTATCAATTAAAATAGTAAAATAATAATTTTAAAGAAATTTTGATTTTAGAAGTATAATGTAATGATATTTACATTATTACATCTCAAATCTCAAAGATCATCATAACACATCTATTAAAATGCTATAAAAAATGTACCGTGTAACTAACAACATATTATTCAATATTAATCTTTAGTCAAATAAACAACAACAGCAATCGTACTTTAAAATACTATAAATAACCCCGTAACCAATGTAACACCAGTTCAGTCCAAATACAGACTTAGGCTCCGGCTAACCATTGCTCAACTGTGTTATTATAAAGTGCGAGTGTTGTTAGTTAAATAATGTCAAGTGACAAATAACTATTTTTATTTGAATACATTCATCTCCTTTCATTTAATTTGCTTATTCTTTGCGTTCTGTGGACTTTCATCGCATAGACTAAGTAAAGAAGTCAGAAGACTTACACTTTCCAATATAAAGGTAAGGAATATATATTTATTATAATATTTTAATAAATAAACTAATAAAAAAACTTATTAGGAATATTAAGTATTCCATGTGAATAGGTAAGGTAATAACCAAACTAACGACCCTATAGCTCATCATCCGTAATAAAATATAGATTATAATAATTCTATCTGATATATCATAACACTGCAGAAGCTTGATCCTACCTTTTACCATTGTTAATAATCTAAACCTTAAGATCCTGGATTATATTTTATTATAAGGTAATGTGAACAATTTTACTATTTAAAAATTATATCTAACCCATATAAAAAAATATAAATTATTATCATTACAATAATGAATATATTTTTCTGAATTTTTTAACATATTTTACCTTTTTTCTACTGCTTAACAACAGTCTACAATAGAAAATCGTGATTCCTGAACATTATGAAAAGAGGCAAAAGTACATTATGGAATGTCAACTCTCACATGTGTTAAAATAATTAACTATTCAATTTTATTTCATCTAGATATTCTGATTTTGATATTTATACTAAGACCGCTATAAATTATTTAGAATAGTTTACTAAGCAAAAACGCCATAATTTCAGTCACGGCTTTTTACCTAGCATACGTAAATGTACTAATCACTAATACCTAATTGAAGAAATAAATCCGTAATATATTATTAATATTCATTATTAGTTATAATTAATAAAAAATATTGATAACTTATTATAATAATAATACTAACCTGGTAGTACATCCCATAAAGATCTTTTTCTTAGTCTAATTTTATTTGTTTTCGCATTTTTACACTTGTTAAATATTTTTTCCTTTTCCTAAATTCTCCGGATTTTGTGAAAAGCCCTACTACATCGTTAACCACAACACTATTATCAATACAAATAGGCAATTCAGATATATTAATTGTTGTACATTCATTATCACCTGAAAATTAAATACACACAATATTTATTTTTCGTATTAAATTATAATAACCTAATTCACCATAATGAAATCAAAACTAATTCTAAAACGATTTCTAATTTTAAGTTAAAATTATCTGTTTTACCTTCAATAAGTTCTTCAATTTTATCCAATAAGTCAGTTGCAATAGTTGCTGATTCAGGAGAACCAGGAATAACATTTACGTTGGGGTCATAAATAAGTTCACTTTGTATACTCATATTTTAAATTAACAAATATTATATAACATTAACGACAAAACATTATAGAGAAGTGAACCAAATATGTGTGTGGTGAGAAGACAACAGTGTACGACAGTAAAATCCCAAACATTATCATTTATCAGTAATTTAAAATAAAATTATTAGATACGGGATTATTACAAGTTTCCTAAACAACAATGGCGTAAATATAGATTATGAGTAAGTGCTTAATAAAACCGCCGTATATGATATTAGACATACGGCAATCTTTCTCAACAAGTTGCGTTTACACGGCGTTTTTGCTAACTATCGATAATATTTAATTACAATTGGACCAATATAATTTTCTTAGAAGGACCTATATATATATATATATATATATATATATGGATAAATAACTATAGTTACGGCATTTTTACTCAAGAAAAACGTGTAAAACTATTATGTTATACGCAAGAGAGTATTATCTCATTTTTATTTTTCAAATTACGGCATTTTCTCTTAGCAGGACATTATAAATATATGATATGATATGCACGGTAAATACTAAATTTACTGCCAAAAAGCTGATTCAGACTAGATTTCAGTATAATATAATTTATGATATATATAGGATTTTCTATAATCGTGCCTTGAGATCATTTAAAAATTATTATTAGGTACCAAGATCCTATAAACGGATGGCACACGATTCCGCACAATATACCTTTTTATCTATCCGATTCCGCACATTTTCATAATACAAAAGATTTTTTTTATTTAACCCAATTATAACACGATTCCGCATGAAAATGTTTGCTAGTTATGAGGAAAAATAATTATAATAATAATATTAAATACATTTTTTTTATAATTAAAACAACCTTTTGAGTCGAAAACCAATTTTTTTCTCTAAATTTGAAAAAATAAACATAGTGCAATTTTGTTAGAAGAGCAGCGCCACTTTAAAAGTTGATCGCATGTGTGAACATTGACAAATCTATGTTTATAACCATTAACAACAGCTAGTTCCTTATTTTTCTCTGACACTATATTACGAATTTTTGCATTTTTTAAATTAATTATTTTAAATTCTCAACTCACAACTGACTTATTATCAGTAAAACCCAATAATGTGATCGCAATATATACGTACGAACGGGTATCGAACAGGTAACTGATGAGTCCAGATTAAACATATTCAATACACTGTAGACTATTCAGATAAGCTAGTATTTGGCTAGTATATAAGCTAGTATTATAAGCTAGAAATCCCAAAATAATGTTATAATACGACTTAGTGTTTATGTCTATTATTTATATTATTTATTGTTTATATTTTTTTTTTGTCTAAGTATTCTTACTATTATTAGTACATTTGACAACATTGCACACAATTTCATACGCAATCGTGATTCGGAATCGTGTTAAGGGGATTCCTCATTATCGCTTATTAGAGTAAAATAGACCTATACACGTTCCAACGTACCAACTTGAGTTTTACTCCTATAATAATTTTAAAAACATATTTGAATTTATTATGAAATCTATTTTGAATCCTTCGAATCAGAATCATAAAAAAAGAATTTAAAAACTATTTATATCCATTTAAATTTTTAAGAATATAAGATTTTTTTTCTAAATTTCAAGTGAGGTTTTTTCTTTTTAAGAATAATAAATTAAAAATGTGGCTCGTAGGATCCAAAGTTGATTGAACAACAAAACAAAATTTGTTTTCAAAATTATTATAGGAGTAAAACTCAAGTCGGTATGTTGGAATTCGTTTAGGTCTATGATTTACAATATTAAGTCATGAAAAAGATTCGTTGTTGGACTTTATGTGACATGTGCATGCGAGTGCGTAACGCTTATCTAGCTCGCCGCCGCCGTCGCGTACGTCACTAATGAATTATCGGAAATCTAAATATAATAATATGTTCATATAAAAATAAAAATATACTACAATCCGATTATTACCGATAGACGATAATGATCGAAGATAAAATTATTGCCGCCGTCGCGGACCATATTATTATATTATATTGTGTACATGGCGCTCGCGCATTCACGCTCAAATATAATGATTTACATTTACTTTATGTTATTATAATATTAGATGATATTGTCAGCCATCAAGTCGATTATCAGATCTTTATTTTTTAGTGTACCTATAATAGTAGCATATAGTTGTGTAGTTATATAGTTATAGTTGTACTTAGTTTTTGTAAATCCAAAAATTTTCCAATTTTTTAAAAATGGGAAAATTTAAAAAAAAGTGTTTGTCGAAACGAAAAAAAATGAAAGGCAATGTATTAAATTTCCAAAAGAAAATAATGGAGATATCTTAGTTGATTTGTAAGTTAATTTATATTGAATTATTTATTTTAAGTTTTGAGTGAAGCAAGTTTGTGTTATGCTATGTATCAGTATGTCTCAAAAATCCTGTACGACCCCGAGGATCTCGACACTAACTCAATATTTTTGAATGAGGTTTTTTCGAAAATAAACCATGATAAAAATTCCAATTTCAAATTTTTTGTTCAAAAATTTAAAATTGTTTTTTTAAATTTTCATAATAGCTATTTTTTTTTACTTTTTTCCAAAAGTAAATTAAAAAAGCGTGGTCAAGTGAGTAACGCTTTGCTGTATAGTATGGTCACTACTAATGTATTAAATTTGAAACCAATGATAGGTATCACGATTCTGAACGGAGATGATGATTTATTGTCATCCTAAAATATATTTCCCAGTGGGTGGTGAAAAAGATGGTTTATGTTTTAATGATCTGAATAACCCTAAATTTAAATTCTTTTATAATTATTGCAAGCCAAACTTATGGAAAATCTTATATTAAACTTTCAACTCTTAGCTACTTATCGGTATACAAATTTTTTATAAATTTTAATTATAAAATAATTTGCAAATATTCATGATTTTGACGAATTTTTGTCAATATTTGAACTTCAAATGCTATTAAAAAAAATTGTGCCTAGTATTCTTACTTTTTTTTAATCACTATAAGAATAACTAATGAGGAACTTTGTATTATTGTATTATTAGTATGACCAATACGTAAAAGCGGAATATATCATAACGATAATATACCGGCACAGTTTTAAATGGTCATTAGAGCGCTCGTATTAGTCGTATTGATAAAGATAATAAAAATAATAATAGACGCGACACACTGCACGTCGGTAATCGGCGACGCGGTGGAACGATTGATGGGTTGCAGTGCAGGGAAGTCACTCACTTTTAATGATCATTTACTACACACAAACATACACGCCACGCACGCACGTATTTACAAAATGTCTAAAAATTGCCTATACTCAACTCCTTAAAAATGGTCGGTATGGAATCCCCTTAATGAAAAGGTATATGCGGAATTGTGAATCGCCGCTATAAATAGATAATCTGTTCACTATTCTGTAATTACAGTAAAAATTGTTTTCACGGCTGCGGTCTACTGGCTGTAGTACATTGGGTCAGTCCGGCCCTGTATGTACTTAGGTACATAATAATTAATTGTGTTTTATTATTTTAGTTATATTGGCTGGTCATGACAACCGTGTTAGTTGATTAGGAATAACTGAGGATGGCATGGCTGTAGTTACTGACACTTGGGATAGCTTTTTGCGTATTTAGAATTGAGTTGGCTTTCTGATAAGACTTATGAAGTCAACACCAAATGGTCCCTGAATTACAAAAAAAAAAATGTTCAAATAACTAAATAAACAAATAAATAAACAAAAACTTAAGTAAAAAACCGTTTAAACATTTTTTTCTCAGCGGGGGACCACTCACGCGAAATTAAATATTTTTTTTTTCACAAGTAATCTCTAAGTAAAAGTACAAAGTACAAAATATTTTATTATATGTTATATTACATTAAGATTCTTATAATTATTATGTATTATTATTCATATTACAGAAAAAATTTAATTTGTACCTATTTATTATTTTTTACTTATTATAACATTTTGTAGAAAAGTGACATTTTGAAGTGCATTAAATTTTTTTTTTTTAGGCAAATACACTTTTTATTTTGACATTTGGATTTACAAACACATTTTAAATATCTTTGGCTAATTCTTGTGGATTGAATTTTTATCAACTCATTATACTGTTCATCAGTTAAAAACCTAGTATAAGTGGCCAAATTTTTAAAAAAATTTTGTAGTTTGTTATAAAAATTTGTCTTCATATAAATCGTATCCATAGTTTCAACTCCATAATGAAATACAAAAATGATGAGAAAAATGTCGATATTATAATAAAATTATTAGTACATTCAATATTGTACCTCAGAATTATTATTATAGCAGTAAAAGAATTTTTATATTTATTGTGTTAAATCGTGTACACAGATTTATTTATTTAAATTATTTATAATAAACGATAAGTAAAGTCGTAGGCGATGCCCAATTTTGTTTATTTTCATCATATTGCCTACTCCACGTTTGGCATCATACATAATATCTAGGCAAAGCCCTATAGTTATTTATAATATATATAATATTATTTATATTAGTATTATGTATACTGCCGAGTGATTTTTAGCATTTTATATAATGCCTAGGTATTTTACAAAATATCGGATTATCCATATTGCTGATAACATATATATTTTTTTTTATATTTTTTTTTACATTTTAAACGCATACATTCTACATATTTTAATACTACATATCCAGTTTTTAAAAAGCATTTATAGGTACCTATTAAAATATATGTTTGAGTTATTCGTGTTGTTTTTAAACTATCAAGCATTTATCGAATAGAGTTCATTTTAATTCGTTTTAATATTATTGTTACTTTGTAAACAAAACCATTACTGTGTTAAATAATTGCACCTGTAGAACTTAGTTTTTAAATATTTGAACTGAGCTCCTTTACTTATTTTTTCCCAATTCGAGCAATGTATTTATCAATCTTAAATGATAAGTATACTATTGGTATTAATAATATTTCATGGGGAGGTTCTTTTAGTGGCGAAAAGTTCTGAGGTGAATCGGTTGCAGCGAAATTTCCGGATTCGCAAATTTTAATATTACTGCTATAGATGTCTAAAACGCGGTCTTATCAGCTATCTACATCTGTATATTATTAATATATGTACGATATCCTTCATCTTATACTTTGCACTATTATTATTCTTTATTTTTACTTATATAATCTTATATCTAACCAACCTTAAGTACATTTCTATTGT